TGTTTGCTCTATATTTATAGATTTGGGTCAGTCTTAAAGGAAATCTTAGGTGTTTTTGTGGAAGTTGAGAAGGTGGATTTTAAAATTTACATGGAAATGCAAAGGGCCGAGAATAGCCAATACCATAATGAAAAAACAGAAGGAAAGAAGTTTGGAGGGCTTTTGTTATCACATAGCAATTTGTTATAAACCAGCAGTAGTTGGACAGCATGGTATTGGCACAAAAGTAAACAAATAGATCAGTGGAACTAGAACATCCAGAAAGAGTCCCACATGTGTAGTCACATGATTAATTACAAAGGTGACATTGCAGTGCATTGGAGAAATGAGGACCTTTTCAGTAAATGATGATGAGTCACCTAGATATCCAAATGGATAATGAATTTTGGCCAATACCTTGCGCTATACACAAAAATAAGTTTCATATGTACTGTAAGTCAAAATGTGAAAGGTAAAACAGTCACTTTTTTTAAGAAGAAAACTGCATTTCTTCATGACCTTTGGGTCGGTAAGGATTTCTTAAGCTTGATACAAAAAAACACTATCCACGTGAAAGACTGATACATTAAAATTAAGAACCTTTGCCCATCAAAAGACAACTATAAAGGGAATGAAAAGGCAAGCTACATTCAGAGAAAATATTTGTCACATGTATATCCAATGCTCCGAATATAAAGAAATCCATCAAATAAATAAGAAGAAGGTACTCTAATAAAAAAATAAATAAAACTGGGCAAAAGACTTGCACAGGCACCTTGCAAAAGATCTTCATATAGCCATGAATATGTGAAAAAGCATTTAACTTCCATTATTATACAGTAAAACCCCAGTACATCACCACTATATACCCAGCAGAATGGCTCTACTGAAAAAGGCAAAGAACAGCAGGTGTTGAAGGGGCCATGGAACAGCTGGAACTCTCAGACTGTCTCCTGGCTGTTTGGCTGAGGGTGAGCTCCTAAATGTCCCTCAGTGCTGTCCTGGCCTGTGCAGTGGTGGTCACAATTTGCACGTCCCCAAGTTACTCCAAGTATGAGGGTCACATGAAGCCCTTCACGTAGAACCAGGATTGTAGGCCATGCACCACTAGAATCTTCTTTTCAGGACTTACTGCCCGGCTCTTTCCCCTGGGTTTGTCTCTAAGGGACTCCTGGAAGTTACTAGAATTTTTTTCAGAGATTATTTAATGAAGGCAATGATGGTAATGATAATAGTATCATGCATAATAACTGCCAGTTTAGATAGCTGTCTTTTTACTTGTTTATACCTCCTAAGAACACCATAATAGGTAAGTATTAAAGCATTAAGGTACAATTGCTGCTTCCATTTTACAGTTGATAGAACTGAGGTGCACAGAGATTAACTAATTTGCTCTAGATTACCCAGCTAAGGCCAGACTTTCCACTTTCTGCTCTGGTTTCTCTGGACAGTTCCATAACTCCTCCCATGAAGTCCCCTTTTCATGACTGTTTGGATCCAGCCTGAGCTCTCCTTTCTAAGTTCTGAAATATTCCATGCATAATTTAATAATAATGTTAATTATGGCCCCCATCGTAATGACCACAACATAATAATAGTAGTAGCACTAACCTTGCATCTATTGAGTGCTTACTGTGTGCCAGATGCCGTGCTTGGCTCTTTCTATGCTCTATCACATCGAATCCCTGGAACAGCCCAGTGAGGAGGCCTTGACTGTTACTGGCGCATTATAGAGGCAGAGCTCCAGAGAGTGAAGTGCCTTATCCAGGGCCACAGTTAGAAAGTGTCAGGGCCTGGGGTCAAGCCCAAGTCTGTTGGACTCCAAAAGCCTAAGCTCTTCACTACCTCTCTTTGCTGCCTCTTGCTGTGTTTGACTTTTGGACCCTTGACTATGTTCAGTATGTTCTGATGTAACATGTTCATGAAGACATCCCCCTATTCAGCATTTATTGAGTACCTACTGTGTACCAGGCATTTTGGAGTCACCAAGATCAGTAAGATGATGTTTCTGATCTTGAGGAACTCAGGTCTATTAAGGGAAGCAGATCGTTGCAAATGAGGGTGGTCTGTGCAGCAGCAAATGCACGTGGGTACAGAAGTGCCAGAGTGGAGGGAATAATCACATCCCTCCACTCGCCAGGCAGGAGGGCGGGGAGGTTCTGTAAAGAATGCTTTACCAAGAGGTACCTGAGGTGAGTTTTGAAATAGGGGTAAGAGTTTGCTAATTGGTTAGGGCTTCAAGGGCATTCTAGGCAGAAAGCACAGTGAATAGAAGTCAGGGCTGGTCCTAAAGATCTTAAACTCTTCTATCCCTAATGCATGTCTTCCTCTATACAGAAGGAAGCCTCAGAGTGGGGAGAATCTGCCTCTCCCCTGGCACCAACAGTGCCTATCATGGCAGGGAGTGGGTATGTTCTGGACTGCATGAAGAGTGTCGCTGATAGCCACGGTGTGAGTGATGCCGTGGCTCTGAAACTTTAGTGGAAGCTTGTTCAAAATGCAGATTTGGGGCCCTGCACCCAGGAGTCTCTGGGTTGCTCTGAAAGAATTGGGTGTGCCTCAGCACTTGATTGTTCTGATGTGTAACCTGTATTTTGGACAGGAAGCCACTGTCAGGACAGAGTATGCAGAGACAGAATGGTTTCCTATAGGCAAAAGTGACAGACAAGGTGAATTTTATCTCCCTATTTGTTTAACCTGTACACAGAATATATCATATAAAAAACTAGGCTAGACTTAGAGGAAGGAGGAAGGAAAGTTGATGGAAGAAATATCAATAACTTAAAATATGCAGATGATGCCATCTTATGGCAGAAAGTAGCAGTGGTTTGAAATGACTTCTGATGACAGTGAGAAGTGCCAGAGCAAGACTCGCATTTGAACATCAAGAAGACAAAAATCATGATTACAGAAGAAATGTACAACTTTAACGTAAAATCATGAATACAGAAGGAATACACAACTTTAACATAGTGAAGATATTGAAATTGTTAAAGATTTTGCTTACAGTTATCAATTATCAATTCAAATGGGGACTGCCTCCAAGAACTCAAGAGGAGGCTGAGGCTCAGAAGGGTAGCAATGGAAGAATTGGGAAAGATCACCACAAAGATATGTCATGAGAGACCAAGGCTAAGATCATCCACATCCTCATATTCCCAGTTACTATGTACAGATGTGAAAGTTGGACAGTGAAGAAGGCTGGTAGGAAAATGACTGATTGGAAATATGGTGTTATGGAGAGCTCTGCAGATACCCCCAACTGCCAGAGAGATAAACAACTGGGTCCTAGAGCAAATTAAGCCTGAAACATTGCTGGAGGCAAAAATGACACAACTGAAGCTGTTTTGCAGGGACATCATGAGAGGCAGGGTTCTTTGGAAAAGACAGTAATGCTGGGAAAAACAGAAGGCAGCAGGAAAAGAGAAAGACCAAATATGAGATGGACTGACGCCATGAAAGAAGCCATAGATTTGAGTCTACAGAGCTGAGTAGGACGGCTGAGGACAGGACATTGTGAACATCACTCATTCATAGGGTCGCCGGGAGTCAGAGCTGACTCAGCGTCATGTAACACACCCAGGAGTCAGTTCTGTGGATCTGGGGTGAGGAGCTAGAATTTGCAACTTAGGTGATTCTGATGCAGGAGGCATGTGAACCACAGTTTGAAAAACTCTGCTCTTTGGCTTGGGGAAGATGAGTCAAGGCAGCATGAAGACAGAGACTGATGAGGGAGCCCTGGTGACTCATCCCAGGCTGCACCAGTGCTGTGGAGTTTCCTTATCCCAGAGGGAAACTGGCATCGGCTCCCACGTGCGGCCCTGCCTGTAGATGTGGGCACAGGTGTTGGAGATTTCTGTTTTCTCAGGGCCATTCTAGTTATTGCATAGTAGGAATGGCATGCGATTTTAAAGTAAAACCCAGCATCCTTAAGTAGCAGATTGCTCCTTATTATTCCCTCTGAAAGAGTCTACCTCTTATTTCTTACACATTTTTAGAGATTTTTCCATGGGACGATCCTATCTAATCTTTCCCTGTTTTGCTCTCACCAGCCCCCACCCCCAAACTAAAGGGGGCCATAAAAGAAGTCAGGAGACTTGCCTTCCCAAGTCTGAGACTCCATGACAGCTCAAGTTACCTCAGTCTGTGGGTCCTAGTGATGCCATCTTTTAAAAGCTGTGTCAGGTGGCAATCCCAGGAAATCCGGCCTGACTTCTGGGCCCAGCACTGCTCAGGACTGGCCTCAGTGATTCAGTTGCCCTCACCACCAGCAGAGGGCCTTTCTGTCTCTGCCCCGGCATAGGTCTCGAGCAGCCTTCCAGGACCATTTGGGTGGATGAAATACAGTGCCATAGTCTCAAGTCCACTTGACTTTGTGAATTCAACAACCTGCACTCAGCACATAAGATCAGTGCCCTTCAAGCAACACACTTCATGTGAGCCATCATTTCTGATGGGCAGTCTGAACTTTTTGGGGAATTATGGGCAATCCAAGGGCAATCCTATGATTGCACATGATTTTTACCCCAGGTGTTGGCCTTGGGACTCACCCTTCCTAAGCTGTGACTCCACCTCATGCAGGTCTTATGTTAAGCATTCAGACCTGAGCCATGTGTCTCCACTTGCTCCACTAGCATCAGAATGACCTGGGGAGTGTGTGAAAAAGGCCCATGCCTGGTCTTCCCTCAGTCCCCCTGAATCTGAATCTCCAAGTGGGCTCCCATACCCCTACTTTATTCAGTTCTCCAGGTGATTCTCTTACTCAAGTTTGAGGATGGCTGTCTTCAAGGACTTGACCATTCTTTTGCCTCAGTTTGGGTTGGTGTGTCCCTGATTATTTACTGCTTCAAATCATTTTCTCCCATTTTTCTTGAATGATAAGTTATGTCTCATCTGAATGACAGTTGTGCTAATTGGATAAGAAAAAGCATAGCCATATTATCCTCCAGATGTTGCTAATGGTCATTGAGCCTGGCTTTCATTTCAGTTGGTAATGGTTACTTTTCTTTCCTTTCTCTCAGGTATCTGTACCATGTTTTGACCAAAAACACCACAGTCACAGAACAGAACCGGAACCTGCTAGTGGAGACCATCCGTTCCATCACCGAGATCCTGATTTGGGGAGATCAGAATGACAGCTCTGTGTTTGAGTAAGGGTTTCAAATGTTTTAAAACATTTTTTCTTCTTCCTTTGAATATTTTTTTAGATGCATATCATGAGTCATTCCTGATGACATCAGAATTTGACGCCAATTTGGTCTTGCACAGATATCTATATCTCTGTCTATATAACATGTCCTGAAACACCACAAGCTGAAAATGGGGAGGTTGTGGAAATGAGTCTCTAGAAAACCTGAAAATACTATGGATAATTTTTCCAGTAGTGTCTGATTATCACTCCCAAGGAAGAAGATAATGTCCTGGGTAGTAAGACTCTAAATGAACTGGGGGAGACACTAGGGGCAAACAATTATGGTGTTTACTGATGGGCCAGGCACAGTGCTAAGCTCTTGATGAGATTATCCCCCTACATCTCCTGGTGACTGCAGGGTGAAGGCCCTGTGGTCCCCATTTATGTGTACGGTCACACAGCTGGTTAAGTGTCGAAGCAGTGCCTCGTACCAGAGCCCGTGGAGGGGTTTGTCTTTATTCTCGTACTTTCTAGATGAGCAGCCGTAGGCCAGCCTCAGTTTCCCCATCTTTAAAGGAGAGAGTGAAAATTCACTGTCTAATGCCTGGTATAGACCAAGCAGTAAGAAATGTTAGCAGGTCATAGTAATAATAATAATAATAATAATAATAATAATAATAATAATAATAAAAGATGTCCCTATTGGACAGTTAAAAAGCAAAGGCTATAAACCATGAACTACTTCCCCAATAGACCTGTCTCAGTGTCTGAGTGCAGAAGAATTTGGATTATCACAACCACCAGACAGATTTTGTTTTTATATAAAATAATCTCAATTATAAGTATTGAGGCCATTTTTAAGACCATTTAAAAAAAATAAAGGTATTCCATTTCTAACATGGTAGCATGACTTCTTAATAAATATCCTGATTTTCTGGATAGTTCTATGTTTTCATTAGTAAGGTTAAGATAAAGCTACTTGTGAAAATGCAAACCTGTGACACTGGCCAACATCCTCAAAGGACAAGAGTAATAAAGTGAATTGTTGCTTATAGGCTTCCTTTAAGGCTACATAGGGAATTGGTTGGTTAGTATCTGTTTTTGGAAATGAGAGATACCCTTTGATTAAAGCTTAGAAACTGTCCTCGTTTACTAGAATGGACTTCCTTAGTCCCTTTGTCAGCTTAGAAAGACTCTGGAGCTCTTAGAGACCCATTGATTCTTAAATGGCTGCCTAACAGAATCCCCAAGAGAATTTGTTTTTAATACATTTTTTTATTTTGGAGTTATTTTTTATTTATTTACATTTTTAAAAATATGTCTTTATTGATTTCAGAGAGAGGAAGGGAAAGGGAGAAAGAGAAATAGAAACATCAGTGATGAGAGAGTCATTGATCGGCTGCCTCCTGCATGCCCCCTACTGGGGATGGAGCCTGCAACCCTGGCATGTACCCTGACTGGGAATCGAACCACGATCTCCTGGATTATAGGTCAATGCTCAACCGCTGAGCCACGTTGGCTGGGCTATTTTGAAGTAATTTTAGATTTACAGGAAAGTTGTGAAGATAATACAGAAAGTTCCCATATGCCTTTTCCTTAGTTTCCCCTATTGTTAACATCTTAGATTACCAGGGTGCATTTGTCAAATCTCAGTAGCTGACATTTGGTACCCAACTATTAAGTAAACTCCAGACTTGATTTGGATTTTACCAGATTTTCCATTAATGTCCTCTTTTTGCTCTAGGATCCCAATCCTGGCACCCAATTCAGGCTCCCACAGTGCATTCAGTTGTCACATTTCCCCACTCTCCTCAGGCCTGTTACAGTTTCTTAGTCTTCCTTGTTTGTCATGACCTTGACAGTTTTGAGGAGTACCTATCCCACCTGGAGCATGGGAATTAAGCTCTACCTTCTAGAAGGGGGTAGTATCTACATACACTATTTGAAATTCCTCTACATGGAAGATTTGTTTCTTCCCAGTTATATATTTATTCAATCACTTATTTATATCAAATGAACTCATGGATATTATTTTATACTTTGGATTATAATCCAATACTGTGTTGTTTATTTTGTTGCTGAATTGGCTCCAGCTTTGGAAGCTCTTTCAGGTTGGTTCCTGTGTCCTTTGACATATCCTTTTGTTTTTGAGCACTTCCTTACTTTCTGGTGCTTTACAATGCTCCAGGTTTATTTTCTTTTTTTTTCTGCCCCAGCCCTAGAATTAGTCATTTTTCCAAGGAGCCCCCTCCCTACTCCTCCAGGGTGTTTTTTAAAAATCCAGGCCCTTGGACTTCACACTGGACCTAGAATATAGCTCTCTGGGCAAAATCTAAGTATAGGTGTTTTAACAAGTTCCCAAGCTGGTTATCATTGTGCTGCAGTGAGCTTGTTGGGTGACCCTTGGTAGACAAGACAAACAAAATAGGTCAAATGATAGGAATATTCTGGAGGTCAATGTGAATGGCTCCTAGAATCAGAGTTGGAAAAGATTTTAGGCGCCTTTTTTTAGATAATTTATTCATTTACCCTTCCATGGATTCAAACAGAAGTTATGCAGCCCATGATCCTGCAGCCATGCAGCTGACAATAGAGGGGAAAGAGTCACCAAAATTAAGTCAACCAGCAAACATATGTCACTACAGTGATTTGTTTGGAGTATCCCAAATGAGAGGTTATCTGCAATTAGCTTGAATTCAGAGAACGCATAACTAGAAACATCGCTTTCTTCCTTTAAAGAAAGACATTAAGGGGTTCTCTCTCCTTTTCAAGACTAAAAGAGCCAATGTATACCCCTAAATGTCAGTGCCACAGGCTGCATGCAGACAAAAGTCCTTTCCAGAACAAATGCAGACTTGGGGACTGGCTAGGGTCCTACCACTATGTTAGCATCTTCTGTTTCCTTCCCATTCTTTTCCCCCAGACATGTAAACTACAAGCTTGACAATTTGGAAACCAAAACCTTAATACCCCATTGTTGCTTGAAACTCAAAGACATGGAGAGCAAAGGAAAGAGGCTAAGTAAGGAAAACAAAGAATATAAAATATTTGGTCAAAAATGCTGCTTACCAGGTTTATAAGCACAGATTAGTGTGTAATCATTTAGTAGGTAAAGATCTTTCCCCTTCTGTCAGAAAGCTAGTAGTTCACTACTTCCAGAATCAGTACTGTTCTCACATTCTGGGAAGAGAACTTGGAAGGTTGCATTTGCCTGTCCAGCATCGTGGGAGCTGATAGCATGGAAGCTGAGGCTGTGCAGGTAGTGTGGTCTGGCTGCTCTGCAAATACCTTTGGGGTGGAGGTGCATGTGTGTACTGTGCATGGAACCAGAGGATGATTTGGATTTCCATCTGTGGAAGCAAACACTGATGCTTTCCCATTCTTTCCCCAGCTTCTTCCTGGAGAAGAACATGTTTGTTTTCTTCTTGAACATCCTGCGGCAGAAATCGGGCCGCTATGTATGCGTTCAACTGTTGCAGACCCTGAACATCCTCTTTGAGAATATCAGTCACGAGACCTCACTTTGTAAGGACAATCCTTGACACCTGCCTCTGCACTGCTGAGCATCGGCAGCGTGTAGTTTGGCGTGGTTTTTGTGTTATTTTTCAAATGTCTGTGGTTACCGTGTATCTCAGTGTGCTTGGGCTGCTGTGACAAAGTACCCCAGACTGGGTGGCTTAGACAACAGAAATTTATTTTCTGGAGGCTGGACATCTAAGATGTGCCTTCGGGGTTGGTTTCTAGTGAGGCCTCTCTTCCTGGCTTGCAGATGGCTGCCTTCTCATTGTGTCCTCATGTGGTTTCCTCTGTGCGCACACACACAGAGTTCTGGTGTCTCTTCCTATTCTTATAAGGACACCAGATTATTGGATTAGGGCCTTATCCTATGACCTCATTTAGCCTTAATCACCTCCTTAAGGCCCTGTGTCCAAATACAGTCACATTGGGGGTTAAGGCCTTGATACAGGGATTTGGGGGGGAACGCAGTTTGTCCATAACATCATGTTTATCCCTGTGTGGTGGTGCTATGAAGGGATAAGGGAGGGTTCTCTACTGCTGAGTAATTCTGGGGCACTAGCATTTCTTTTTTATAATTTATTACGAAAGAGTTGGAGTCAGTGAGCCAATAGAATAAGCATTGGAAGTGGCAGGGGAGGAAGAAGTCAGCCACAGAGCACGCAGGGCGTGGGCTTTGACACCTGCCTGACTGGCACATATGTGACTCAGAGCTTATTCCCTGCCCTCACTAAGTCCCCAGTTCTTCATCTGAAACAACCTCCTCTGAGAGGCAGGTGCTGTCACTGCCCTCATTTAACACTCAGAGAGTTTGAGTCACTGGTCCTAAGTGACAGCTCTAGCAAGACCAAAATTGAGAAGGGGTTCAACCCAGGCGAGTTAGCTCCATGATCCTTAACTGGGGGTGATTGTGCCCCCAGCAGACATTTGTCAATGCCCAGAGACACTCTTGGTTATAAAGATGGGGTGGGCGGGGGTGGGAGGGTTACTACTGGAATCTTGTGGGTGGAGTCCAAGGATGCTGCTGAACATCCTACAATGCACAGGACAGCCCCACAACAGAGAATTATGTAGCCCAAAATGTTAACAGTGCTGAGGGTGAAAAACCCTCATCCTCCATGCTTGACCACTAGCTTTTTTATCCCAGGATGACCACACCCTAGGCCCTACCTGCAGAAAGTAGGGAAGAGAAGACAAGTGATCGAATGTCTGTGTCAGAGGCAGGCTCTAGGTCCCCAAGATAGGTTTGAAAATAGAGATGGTGTTCTTGGCATTCCTTTGGGGAAGGAGTAAGAGGTAGGAAAGAGCTGTTGAATGGTGACTCAGAAGTGACCACTAGATGGTGCTGCTGCTCCAGGAGATCCTTCCACTGACTGATGAATGTGAGTTGACTCACTCTCCCCAGGTGGTTTCCCTTGTTATCAGCTTTTATTACACTGGATATGAATTATGTGTGGTTTCTAAAAACTCCGAGAGGGGAAGACCCAGATCAGTAGTGCAGGCCCTGTACTCAGACCCAAGTAGGCCCCAGGACAGTTCTGCTGCATACTCCCTGTGTGTGCTCCTGGGAGTGATCTCTCCAAGATGCAGTGGACATAATCCTAATACCTGGGGAATGGAATGGTTTGAGGATTAAGCGTGATAGCGTGTTTGCAGAGCATAGCACGGAGTCTGGCAGATAGATGGAAGTGTCCAGAAGAGTTGGTTTTATTATTAAAGCTAGAATTCCCCTAAATACCTTTTCTATGGTAACACTTTCTTAACCCAGGCGACTGCACTAAAGATGGGAGTTGAGACAATTAAAATTCTGGGGTTTCTGGATCAGATGGCTTTTCATGTACTATGTCTAAAAAGGGTGCCCTGCTGGTAAGAAACCCAGGCAGGTGCCACTAGCTTCATGGGGAGTTCACCAGAGTACTCTTATAAGCCCTGCCAAAGTGGAGAAGTCACTTCCTTTGTATAGAACTTGGATTTATGGGGGTAAGAGGATAAATGACTTGCTTTGATTTTTATTTTCTAATTATGGAATTATGGAAGGAAAATGTCCTCATTATAAAACAACCAAAACAAAACCAAAACAAAACATTACAGAAGTATAGAAAGCAAACGTTTCTGTAGAATCTCACCTAACAATTTAGTCACATACCATTTTGCTGTTTGTTTTATTTTCCCCCAACCTACCAGTGTATCTTAGACCTTTTGATTGTCTGTTCATGCATCCTTACCTAGTTGGGTTCAAGAGCTGCAATTGCTGGGCCATAACTTATTTAACTTGACCATGGGCATTTAGGTGGTTTCCAGGTTTTCACTATTACGAGCAGCCATATCACAAGTGCACCTGTTGCCTATTGAGTTTGGTGACCTAAGTGACAGAAGGCCTGTGAGACTGAGATTACTTATAGACTCCTGGGTTTATTATAAAGGATACCACAGAAAGTCGGCCACACAGTGAGGGGGTAGGAGAAAAACCCCAGCCGAATAATAGAGGCAACTCCACTGCCCCTATGGTGGCCCTCACCACCCACAGAGTCATCTTGTGGAGGCCTGGGAAAAGTCCCCGCTGGGCAATGATTGGAGCATGTGGCTTTTCCAGCTCAAGAATGCAGCCCAGAGGCTCACAGTTGCATGCCTGAAGCTGCCAGCATTGGTGCCTGTGCCTCTGGTTGCCCGGAAGCCACTAACCAGTCACAACGAAGCTCACCATGACATCTCAACAGTCCCTTCTCCTGCCAGCTCATTCGTCCCTATCCATAGCCACAGTGACAGAATGAAAAAGAAGTGCTCTAGGCATCAGTATCACCTGGGCTGCTTGTTACAAGTTAAGATCCTAGGTGGGTAGATTGTGAACTGTTCAAAGCATGGAATATATAGCGAAAGGGAAACAAGGGATGAACTCCTACCACTACGTGCAGCAACATGGATAATTCTCAGATGTGATGAGTGAAAGAGGCCAGACGAGCGTGCATACTGTGTGATCCCATGCCTATGAAATTCAAGATCAGGCAAACCAGTTCATGATGATGGAAGTCAGACTAGGGGTTGTCTTTGGAGGGGGGGTAATGACTGGACAGGGACATGAGGAGCCTTCTGGGGAGCTGGAAATGTGCTTTGTCTGATCTGGGTGGTGCTTATGGTGTCTGTATTTGCAAAAATTCGTCAAGATAGACACCTAAAATTTGTGAGGTGTGGGTATATATATCAGCACACAGATACATGTACTTACCATTCATACATATGCACATTTCCACGTATATCAAGCTGTACGCTCAAGATTTGTGGAATATGTACCTTATTTTTAAAAAAAATATATCTTTATTGATTTCAGAGAGAGGAAAGGAGAGTGAGAGAGAGATAGAAACACCAATGATGAGAGAGTCATTGATCGGCTGCCTCCTGCATGCCCCCGACTAGGGATCGAGCCCACAACCCGAGCATGTGCCCTGAGCGGGAATCGAACCCCTATCGCCTGTATCCTAGGTCAACGCTCAACTGCTGAGCCTTGCCCGGCTGGGCTGTACCTCATTTTTAAACACAGTAAGATTCTTAGGCCCCTTCCCCAGACCCACTACCTCCTCTCTTGGAGCAGGCTCCAATATCTACCTCAGTTATTGTTTTGATCAGATTTTAAAAACCATTCTAAGACTACAGACTTCACGGCCTGTCTGCAAAGCCAGGACACCTAGTGTACTTTGAATGCAGTGGCTTTTCTGGAGAGCTGGCTTCTGGGGAGAACCCAGCTGTGGCCCATGCCATAGCCTCTCATGGCCCTTGCTGGCTCTTTGTGTTGTGTTTGATTCCAAATAGTTTTTTAAGTAATACTTTGGCCTAAGTTAGATACCTCTTTGGTGCCAAATAACTTAATGGTTTATTTTTGATTCAATCAAAAGCAACTGTGTTCAGTCCTGGGTATATGGTGGTGGAGATTATGAATCTCCAAATGAAAGTAATAAGAATAAAGGCAGCTAACATTATTGAGTGCTTACTTTGTGTCCCTCACTGTTCTTAGTAGTTTTCGTGTATTATCTTTAATCCTCACAACAGCCTCATGAGGAAGATACTGTTATTTTAGTTTTCAAACAAATAGACTGAGGAGTGGGGAGGGTAAGTGGTTTTCTCAAGGTCACCCAGCTGGGACGTAGCAGAGGCAGTGTGGATCCAAGTCCATATTTGAACCCAGTGTCTCACACACAAGAAGCCCTGTAAGGTTTCTTAACACAGAGTCCCAGGCCCACCCCCAGAGAGATGAGTGGGAGTCAGGACTGGGGCCCAGGATTCAGCATGTCTGATTAGCTCCAGGTGATGCTGTGCTGCCATTCTGAGGACCACACTCTGAACTCCTCCACTCTGTCTGTAGGTGCTGGTGTTGATCGTGCTCTGCCTTTAACCATTTTTGGGGAGGCAGATGTGGTGATGCAGAGCTCACAGGCTGGCAGCCCAGAGGACAGACAGTGGGTACAGCAGAGCCTGCTTTGAATGGTGGCTGGTGAGGACTTAGAGGAGAAGTGTCCAGCAAGGGCCCAATACCAAGGTCACAAACTAGAGGCCCATGGGCCACAGCTGGTCTACAGGTCTGTTTTTGCAGGCCAGCACAGCTTTAAAAACTAGCTGATCTAATGGAAAATATTGCAAAATCAGGAGATGCAGCATTAAAACCTGTTACCCTGCTTCCCTTGCTTAGCTGGAAGCTCTCACCATGCTGAACCTGCATTTCTGCAGGAACTGGGGGCTGCGAGCTTGGAGGGGGTAGCCATTCTTCAGTGGGTGCCAGTGCCTCCAGGCCCTCATCATTGTTGGCCCCCATTAGTGATGATATTAACATGGGCTTTGATAATGGGACCTTGGTTCGAATCCCATCTCTGCAACTTTCCTTCCTGGGCAAATTAATCAACCTCTCTGAGCTGTTTTCACTCATCTGCAATGAGTAAAACCTACTCTACCGTATCGTTGTGACAATTAGAGTGTGAAGCACTCAGCCAGATACTGGGCGTGTAGTGGAAGTTCAGCATGAAGTGGCTTTTATGAAATCACATTGCTATATGGGGAGAAAAAAGCCATGTGTGAGGCCCTTTGTGGCATTCAGGGATGATGGGGTCACTTTTGATGGCAAAGTGGGGCAGTTTGTTACAAAGTACAGTGCTGTTTACCCTCATCTGCAGGTCACTTGTGAGATGCCCACACACCAGCTCATCTGTCCTACCCCCAGCTCTGTGTTGAATTGTGCCTGCAATGAAGAAAATGTTCAATGTTCTTTTCTGCTTGGTGTGGGAGGGAGGGGTAACCCGGGCCTGTCTTTGGCATTGCTTTTGAACTTTCTAATGACTATGCATAGTGGCTGATTTCTTTGCTGGTTAAAGGTTAAGCTGCTCCCTGTTAGATTGTTTAACCCCACCCACCCAGAAGCTTGACTGGTTTGGATATATTCACAAGGTTATCTGCTTGTTACCTGACTTTCTCTGCTTGTCTTCCCTCCAGCGCAAATTAACCTGTGGTTTTTTTGTCGTTTGTTTTTCTCCCTCTAGATTATTTGCTCTCTAATAACTATGTAAATTCTATCATTGTCCATAAGTTTGACTTTTCCGATGAAGAGATTATGGCGTATTATATATCATTCCTGAAAACACTTTCATTAAAACTCAACAACCACACTGTCCATTTTTTTTACAACGAGGTAAGTGACTGCTAGAGGGGGCATTTGGATACAAAGCCACCTGGCCAGACCAGCACCTTCTGTCTGGGTGGCCTTCTGTATGTTGACAAAACACTTATGGACTTGTTCTTCCCTGATTTTCATAGCAACACTGCTTGACCTTGGCGTACTGAAAATTTTCTTTAATTAGTTACTTCCCCATTTTTGGTGTAAAATTCAATTAGTGTAGCCTGACAGCAGTGTACTTGGCATGGAGAAGTACTTGGAAGTTGACTTAGGGGTCGGGTTACCCTGTGGGAAAAACAGGAACTCCACTCAGACCCAGTTTTGCCATTGCCCTGCTCTATGACCTTAGAGAAGTCCTAGTCCTCTGAGCCTCAGTTTCTTCCTCTGAGAAATGGGGATAATAATATATACCTTGTAGTGTTTTTTCAGGGATTGAATTAAATGAGGTGATGCCCTCAAAGCACCTAGTATGTACCTGACTCCCTAAAGTCATAGCTATTGCTGTTCTTTACAAGCTAACATCCCTGGTAATCCTTTGGAGAATTACTAGACATTTATAGAAATAAATTACTGCTGTTCTCACAATTAAAAGTAGCTTGAACAATAAGATCAATTTATCTCATACCAAAAGGTAGGGTGCCAGCTGTCCTGGGGCTGATTCATCCTGCGGCTTAACCTCTTTTCATCAAGGACTGAGGCTTTTCCATCTTCCTGCTCTGCTGACCATACAGTTGGCATCTTTCCTCAGTTCTCAATCCCTCATGGTCTCAGAATGGCTGCAGCAGCTCCAAATCTCACATGCTCACATGCCACTGTCGAAAAGCCTGATGAGATCACTTCCCTTTCTGGTCTCTCTAACTTCCAAAAAAATTCTTTTCCAGAAGCTTCAAGCAGACTTCCTCTCATGTCTCACTGGTCAGAATTGTGTCACATTTATCACACAGTGTGTCTAGAATTTGGGAGTGGCCTGGCAGGGCATTTCTGGCGTAGTATCTTGTGATGCTGCATCATCCGAAGGCTGGATTAGGGTTGGAGGATCTGCTTCCAAGGTGGATTGTTCATATGCTAGCCAGTGGTGTGGGCTATTGTCAGGAGGATTCAATTATATAGGCTTCCCCAGGGACTGCTTGAAGGCCCTCATGGCATGGTGGCTGGCTTCCCCCAGAACGAATGATCCAAGAAACCAAGGCAAGCTGGAATACCTTTTATTATCTAGCCTCAGAAGCACATACCATCACTTGCAGTATTCTTTATGCTGCAAAGGGAACCCTGATTCAGTGTAGGAGAGGACGACACGTGTGTAAATACAGGAGGTCAGGATCATTGGGCCATCTTGGAGGCCAGCTATCACATAGCCATGTGTCGTTTGCATGGCAGGTGTCTTCTGATTGGTGGTTACATATGCTGTGCCTGTATATGTAGTCAGACCATAGTCCCAAACATATCCTCTCAGTTTGGGCAGAATCCATCTATCTGTTCCCATATCATGTGGCAATAGTGGCCTGAACCTTGATTTTTCTTTGTCTAGATTGATAGTGAGGAAGAGCTGTCCTCAAAGGGAAGAAATGCTAACTGCCAATCATAAAAACTGTGTGGCAATTTGAAAAAGTAACCTTGTGTGGCCCAGTACCTGGCACATAGTAGGTGCTCAATAAACATGTTCAAAGACCAGATAGATGGCATTAACATTCTCTGAGGAGCTTTCCTGGGTGGAAGAAAACCCACCTGTGAAGTACAGATCAGAGAGAGGAACAGACTCTCCCTCCACTCCAGTGCAGCTGGACTTTTGTGCACCCAGTAGGAGGGCAGGAAGTTGAGATTCTGGGGCCAGAGTGATGCTCCTGGAAGAAGATCCTGCTGGTCACCAGAGGAGTGGTAGGAGCGTCATTTTTGAGGTGGGCTTGGTTTCCTCTTTTATGTGGGCCAGTACAGTAGCTACCAGTTGCTAAATGTACACTTCTAGTGCTCAAAATCTTGTTTTTGTTATTAGACAGTTGTCACTTTGCTGAAGGTGGCCTCTTTCCCACTTCCTCACTGCTTGTGAGTGCTCTCCAGTTGGCTCCAGAGCCATGTGGAAAAACTGGCCAGAAGAGGGCAGCCAAGTATGCCACCTTTCTATTCTAGGCCCATATCCTGTTGTGCTTTTTTCCTTAAGGCTCCAACAGTGGAGTTCTCTGGTTCTGAACTGTTTTGGTCTGCTCTGATGACCCCTATGTAATGTCAGAAGATTCCTAAGACCCTCCTCCACCATGATAAAATTTACACTTTTAGTATTTACAAATAGAGGAATATATAATAGCCGAGAGAGATTCTGAATATAGTAAAACTTGACACTTCCCTTTTTTTTTTCCCAGCAGCATCTAATAATAACTAGTGTTACTACTGAGTGCTTATTAGGTATGAGGTGCTGGGTTAGCATTGTGTTGGAAATAACTTTATTTAATCCTAGCAGCTGTGAAGTAGGAATTATTATTCCCATTTTCTAGATGAAGAAGCACAGGCTTGGAAATATTAATCACACCGCTAAGAAGTGGTAGAACAGATCATGAGCCTGGGTCTGGACCCTTTTCTATTTCTGCCATGGTTTCCCCTCCCCACCCCTCCCTACATTCCCCATTGGGAGTGACCACTGGTGTAACATCCATGTTGGTAACTTTTTTTGTCTTTTACTGAAGTCTGTGATAAGATTCAGAAAGCTGGAGTGGGGGGGGCAGGCCTGTCTTACAGGTTTGTAATTCCTTTTTGGTACTTCTTTTGTTTTAGCACACTAATGATTTTGCCCTGTACACAGAAGCCATCAAATTTTTTAATCACCCTGAAAGCATGGTTAGAATTGCTGTAAGAACCATCACTTTGAATGTCTACAAAGGTAAGTTTTCCTTATGATTTCCACCTAGTGCTCGCTCTCAGGAGCTCATTTATTATAGCTGTGGTTGCTTGTCTCACAAAAGGCTTATAGTCACTGAACATTTAGCTGGCCCCTTACAGAAATTTTTGTACCACTGTCTTTTCCCTGCACACTCAGTTCTGTACTACATGTTAAAACCTTAGTGCTAACACAGAAGTAGTAATGTCCTAAGAAAGGCACATGTGGGACTTGGAGTGGCCATGTCATAATTAGATATAAAGCAGAGTTGTCCTTTAAATGTTAGATTTAAATTATGTGTTTTGGCCTATAAAATATAGTTCCAGGGGTATCTTTAAATAATGTATAAAAGCATTTCACGTCATGAACAGCAGAGGGCAATATTGTATTCTCAGCCTGCTGCAAAGCCCACCAAATTCCTCCTTTCTTTCAAGATGTACATAATGCCCAAATGATTGTCCCCAGGAGAAAGGCTTCCACTGCTCGCTGCCCACACCAGCACAAAGGCTGGCTGCACAAAGTTTTCTGACCTGGAATTGCCCCTCAAGGCAATGCCTTCTCTGCCTAAATCCCTGGTTATTTTCCCTGTAATCACTACACTGGAGTTGGGCCTATTTTCTCAGGAACCAAAGGGCTTTGACCTTCATGAATTAGGATGTTATTAGTTGAGATGACGCCTAATTGGGAGGGAGCGGGAGCTCCTCAGGGACTCACTCCATCCTAGCTCTGGAATTGAATTAAATTGAAGAGCCTTTCTAAGAGCTCAGTGGGGCCTATCCAGAGGTCACAATCTGAGGGCCTGATGGACGAACCCAGCCCTCAGACAGGTTTTAATTAGCTTAGATATCTTTTGAAAAAATATATAGTTGCCAGTATTTAAAAATGAGATCTTGGGTAATAATCTGGATTTCTGACTTGAAAATGTAGATTTGGCTGTCCCTGGCCCACAGTCCTGCAGGGCAGTGGTAAGCTTGTGCGGAGAAGCAGATGCCCCCTATGGGGTCATGCTCCCCAGTTCACAGGCCAGGCCTGCTGGCTTCACTCACTGAGTCATTGGCCAGCCCGGCAGGCTTCTGAGTTTGTAACCTGGTCTAGGCTGCAGTTCTGCTGCCTCCTGTTATCTGTTTTCTCTTGTTCTCTTCTAACCTGTGTCTTTCAGTTTAGATGCCTCCTGCCCTAGCTCTCTCCCTCTGAGCAGCTGTCTCACCATCCCAGTTCCTAACCCTGTTAACCTGTTGTCTGTTTTTTGCCTTTCCTTCAATGACGAGTCCCGTGTTCCTTATTCCAGTGTCATGTAAGTTATTAACCTCTGGTTTTTCGCTTTCTTAACTTATCATTACATGTAAACACAGGAAACGTGCTTGAGAATGGTGTAGCTTTCATTGTAGTCTAGCTAAACACCAATGATAAGGAGGACTTCCAATGTGCTATTAATGTTTAACCCAATTAACTAATTTTATTAATCATAAAAATAGCCTAAGAACTGCCTTGACAAGTATAGTTTAATGAGTAAGATAACCATTTTCAGGAAAGACAGAAAAGATTAAGATTATAGTAACTGGCTTTTTCATTATGGTTTTGTTTTTTTTAAAATCTTCACCACGATATTTTTGGTAGCTTGACTCTTTTTTTCTCTTCTTTTGTGAATTTTCTCAGTGGATAACCAGGCCATGCTACACTATATCAGAGATAAAACTGCTGTCCCCTACTTCTCTAATTTGGTCTGGTTCATCGGGAGCCACGTGATCGAGCTTGATAACTGTGTGCAGACTGATGAGGAGTAAGTGACCTCGTGGGGTGCCTGTTAGGTAGGCAGAGGGGTTAGGGGAGAGTTTCCTTTTCATCGAGGAAAAACAAACATTAGAACAAAACTTACTCATCTGTGTGTAGGCAGAATATGGACTTCCATACCCTAAAAGGTTCCACCCACTGGTCTGCTTTATGTAACAGTGGAAAATTGGAAACAACTCAGATACCTCCAGAGGGGATCAGGCTTAGTAAATTCAGTGCACCTAGAGATGGGGTGACAGGCTGCTGGTAAAAAGATTAAAATGACCTGTCAGCTGGTGAGTGGATCAACAAAATGTGGTATTTGCATACAATGGAATAGTGTTCAGCCATAAAAAGGAATGAAGTACTTATACATGCTACACCATAGATGAACCTGGAAAGCATTATGCTCAGTGAAAGAAGCCAGACACAAAGGACCACATATCGTATAATTGCGTTTATATGAAATATCCAGAATAGGCAAATCCATAGGGACAAACCGTAGATTAGTGGTTTTGTAGGACTGGAGCGGGGGGCAGGGGTGGTCGTTGGCGGGGAAACAGGAAGTAACTGGCTATGAGTATAGGTATTTTTTGAGGGGAGGGAGTAAAAAAGTTCTAAAATTGATTGTGATGGTGGTTGGATAACTCTACAAATATACTAAACCCCATTAAATTTTGTAATTAAATGGGTGAATTTTATGGTATGTGAATTACATCTCAGTGTATCTATTTTTTTTAAAAAAAGGTATGATGGTAATTTGGGCCCTAGAGTTATGAAGAGAAGTTCCAGAGAAGGATTTCTCAAACTCGGCACTATTGGTCTCTTGAACTAGCTAATTTTCTGTTGTGGGGCTGTCCTGTGCATTATAGGGTGTTTAGCAGCGTCCATGGCCTCTACCCACTACATGCCAGTAGCACTCCTTTTCCATTTGTGACAACCAGACATGTCTCCAGACATTGCCAAATACCTCCTTTAAAATTGCCGTCAGTTGAGAACCCCTGTCTCACAGTGACAGCTTTGCACAGACTGGTGAGAGGCACACCTAGAAGGGGTCAGGATGATAAAGGGACTGTGGAAATTTTCCTTCAGCAGGATATGTAATGCATTTTACTTTTTAAGCCTTTACTTTAAAAAGCTCTTATCAAAGTTAAGGAGGTCTCCTAGGGGGAGGGGGATAGAGAGAGAGAATATTAGGTCTCATATTGAGAAAGAAGCAAGTTTAGGTGGGTGCAAATCTGATGGAGCATTTGGGGAGGCAAGGACCCATGTGGTTATGAACAGTTGTAGATGTGAAATATAAAGAGGCACTTAACTCCAGAAAGAAGAAAAGGTTATACAAGGAAGGACATGAACCCCCCTATTCCTCTGTTTGTCTCTCTAGTAAATGGCTATGATATTGTCAACACCAGCTGCCAATGATTCTTGGGGCAAAGGAGCGGAGGGAGCACAAAGGGTCCTGTCATAGCATAATGCATAACATAATGCATAGTGGCTCAAACACAAAATAGAGGTCCTCACAGATTTTATAGAAATATGGGAAGAACTATCCACAGAAACAACTAAAAGAATTAAAAACTGCCTCCTCTGGAGAGTGGGCAGGGGTTGGGGAGGCTGGGCTAGGAGCTGCTACTTTTTATTACTGCTTACTGTTTGATTTTTAAACCCATCTGCATATATAACTTTGATAAGAGCTTTTTAAAGTAAAGGCTTAAAAAGTAAAATGCATTACATATCCTGCTGAAGGAAAATTTCCACAGTATCTTAAGTGGGGTAAAGCTTGTGAAACATGGTGTATAAATGTTCTAGATCTCAGGTGGGTGGTGGGGCCATAGGTACTCATTATACTATGAGGCTTTACAACATGTATTTGCCATAAATATTTACTAAATATCTTATTAAGGAGTAACTATCCAAAATTATATAAAAGAAGCAAAATTGCTCCTGATTTTACTTACATTTTTCAAGTAGAGATGGATGGATGGATGGATGGATGGATGGATGGATGGATGGATGGATGATAGATGATAGATAGATAGATAGATAGATAGATAGATAGATAGATAGATAGATAGATGATAGATAGATAAACACCTGCATCTTAGGTATGACTATAGGGAGACAGAAATGTGGAAAAACAGAACCTAGGGACACAAGTCCCAAAATATCACCTGTTAGTAGTGGTGCTACAGGAGACTTTGATTTTGTTTTGTTTTTTGTTTTTGCTTTTATCTTCTTCTTTAATTTTCTTTCTTCTAAAATGACCATCTATTACTTGAGTAATACCCATAATACAGTCTAGATTGCTCTTTGCAATAGATATGGCTTTGCAGATAGGGAAAGTGTGCCCACCAGCTATTTGAGAGGCTCTGCCGTCCTTTGCAAGGTTGAGGCTGACTCACCGTGGGGCCCAACCAGTATGCCTATTGCTTCCCTGCGAGGAGACAGAGACCTCCAGGGACCCGGGTGGGATGTCACGTCCTTGTGCTCTGCCCCACATGTGGTCAGGGCTGGTGGGTCCCACATACTTCTGAGGCCTACTTTTCTCCTCAGAACTCCTCTGGAGCATTTTAATTAGCAAGGATATATTGCTCCATTAATACTGCTTATCTTGGAAGCCAGGGGATCTTGCCACATTGGCTAATGGCTTGAGAAGAACTTAGCTGGTTTTTGCTTTGTTTACCCATATTGTTTTGTGGTTGTGGTGATGGGTGGGGGGGCTGAGTTATACTGATGCCCCCAGAGGAGGGGACCCCAAGAGTCCCCTAAAATCAATCAGTTAGAGTGGACCTGCCCCTTTTCCCTTTGTGTATCCCATTAGTAGGGTCAGGAAAAGTGTCTCTTGAAATTCAATTATTTATTGTATGAACAAATGAGCCCCAGTAACCTAAGTCTCAGGCCATTGATTCTAGGCCCAAGGGTTCTGAGCTTTGGATTCCAGACTGAGGTTGTCATTTTTGTTGGCAGACACCGGAATAGGGGGAAACTGAGTGACCTGGTGGCTGAGCACTTGGACCACCTGCACTATCTTAATGACATCCTGATCATCAACTGTGAGTTCCTCAATGACGTGCTCACGGACCACCTGCTCAACAGACTCTTTCTGCCCCTCTACGTGTACTCACTGGAGAACCAGGACAAGGTGAATCTGGGGGCCTGGCCCCATTGCTCTTGTGGGCTGAAGGTTGTCTTCAGAAGGGAGGGAAGAAGAGTCACCTTGAATAGGGCTGAGCTTTGCAAGGGGCTAAGGCTTTGAGCCTGTGAGAGATTCCTTTCAAAGCACCCTGGTTTTCTTTTCCTTTCCTCTTACTTCCTAAGAGTAGTGGGGAGGGGGGAGAGAGAGAGTATGTGTGTGTAGGGGGTGGACTGTAAAAACTGTAAAAGTGAATGAGAGAAGAATACTGACATCAGAATGAAACAGGAAACCTCTATGAATCTAGGTTTTTGGCTCCTGTGCATCCTTCTCTTGAGGTGTTCTCATCCTTGGTAACTTTTTCTGGTAGTTGCCAGGGGAAATTGATTTGGAGAAGATCCAGCCAACCACAAAACTTGCACAGAATGGACAGGAAGAGATGGAGTGCACTTAGGAAAAGCTCCCAGGGCAATGACTGTCCCCAGTTGGCCTCAGACTTCCTCATGAGGAGAGTGCCTGTTAAAAGTGCACATCCTCAGGTATCTTCCCTCTGTTAGGGATGCTGGTCCAGTGGGTCTGGGGTGGACCAGAAATCTCTCATGATTAACCTGCCGCCCCCCAACCCTACCAGGGGATTCTGAGCTGGTGGATCTCTGCTTCCCCCATGAGAAATGCTGCTTCAGGGAGTGGAGGCCTTCTGCCCAGTGCCTCCCAGAGTTAAGGGGCAGAGGCCTCAGCAGGAGGTAGGACAGAGCGGTTATCTGCAGGGGCTTCACCTTTCTTTTTGGAGATAGAAGATGGAGATTCTTACTAAAAATAAGTAAATGGGAGAAAATTGCAACCCTAACTAAGTCTAGCAGAGGCAGTTCTGGGAGGCAGACAGATAACATGGGAAGTGGCTTTTTCAGACCTGGGATCAAATTCTCTCTTCCCTTTCCTTACTCTGTGACCTTGAACAAGGCACTTAACCTCCCTGAGCAAAATGAGGGTCCTGAAGATCCTCCCAGGGTTGGTGTGAGTGGAGCTTGTTGAAGCTCAGTACAAATGAGGGGCTTTTCCGAGGCTACAGTGCCCCAGTCTCTCCTGCCCCATTTTAAAAGCTCTTCCTGAGAACAGGCCTCTGGGGGCCCTTTCCTGGCAGGCTGGGCCTTGGGCTCTTGATGCCTCAGCTGGGGGAAATTAACATTCCTGGTAATTTAAGAAGCCAGCTTGTCTTTTGGGTCCAGCCTCTAATCCATGACTAATGATGAAAGATTCCTCAGGTGGAAAAACCATGGTCTTGCAAATGGTACTGAAGAGGATTAGGTTGCGAATTTCTTTTGCAGAGTGGACTTTTGACTAGCACCAGGCCAGAATAGCTCAGGGTCCTGGAGGAAATCAGGGGGACAGGGTGCCTCTCCTCCAGACAGGTGGCTTTTGGCTGCATGTATTTTGTGCCACTCACTTGTGTGACCTGGACTTCTTTCTCTCTCTTTCCCCTCAACCTTCACCAGGGAGGAGAACGGCCAAAAATCAGCCTGCCAGTTTCGCTTTATCTCCTGTCGCAGGTATGTTTGTTCATTTCCATAATGTCCCCACCACATGTTGGGGGCCTTGGAACACTGCTGCCCCTCAGAAATTTCCCAGGTCACGTTGCCCTCTCTTCTCTCTTAGTGTCCCCCATCTTGCAATAAAATAATAAAAGGAAAGGAGGTTCTATTTTCTAGATACTGAGTAGAGGTGCCAGTATCTTCTTCAAGGTAGTAGATGGAAATTTAACAAGAAATGAAAAATAAATCTAACCTGGCACTTCAGTAGTTGAGTTTTACCATGGGGATTGAGGTTTCCAAAACAACCAAGGAGTGTTCTTAATACCCCGGAAATGTGGACTGTCTGGGTCTTATTCGCGGGATTTGAAATAAACCCCAAACTGCAGGACTCATTGTGCACGTACACACAGCGACCCTGGTTTAACAGACTTCCACTAATGAGGCTGTTTTTAAAGGTTTTTGTCATGGTTTTGGTTCCCAGATTACCTTCTGGAAGGTATCTTGTAGCAGCCTCAGTTCCCAGATTTGCGTCTTGAGCCAATTTGTCTGCCTCCCCCCTCTTAAGTGTGTTTCCTTCTCGTAATTATGTAATATTTACAAGAAGGGAAAAACTCCATGGTGACCCAGTTACATAACTTTAAAAATATTTTTATTACAAGCAGTCCAGACTTTCAGGCCATCTCATTAGACTGTCAAGTAGTCAAACGTTTGACCAGAGCTCTGTTCTCACTTCTGCAAATGGCACAGGTATTTATTTGCTTTGCTGAGAGAATGTCCTTCTAACTTGGTCCGGGGGCTGTTTTGAGTTTGAGGTGGGGCTGTCTCCCATTGGCCTGAGGAGAGAGATGCAAACCTGGCCTCCTCCCAGCAGCTCAGCCGATCGGGATCCACAGTGGCCTGCTTGCTGCTGTTCACTCCTGGCGTCTTGTTCTGGGGGTTCTGTTTGCTTGGAGCTCTGCAGTGGTGCTCACCCCTTCTGAATGCCCCTCTGTGTGACAGAGCTGAGTGCAAACCCCAGCCTCTCCTGGCAGCTTTTTCCACCACCTCATTACAAATCCGCCAGCATCTCCCTCCCGCTTGGGATTCTGGGAGTCTGGCAGGACCTGAGCAGGCCAGATGCTCAGCCACAGGAATCTCATGGAACACACCCGTAGGACACTTCAGCCGTTGGAGCATTGCACAGGCAGGGTCTCCTCCAAGGAGTAAGGAGTAAGGGGTCAGGCCATGCCTTTACTCTGAGAACCCCTTTCCCCCTGTTTCTTAGTGAAGGACCAGCAGCTCAGACACCTAATTACTTGTTTGAGTATCTTACAAAAAGGATAGCTTGTAATTTGGTGTACCTCAACTTGAGAAACAGAGCCCTTCCTCCCCTGCATTTTCATTTAGCTTTATTATAATGTTGCCTAAGTGTGTGAAAAACCTCGAAGCAGGTATAAATCCCATGTCCTTAAGCCCTACATCAAATCATCCTTACCAATTATTTTACGAGCACAGCCACAAAACCAAGAAAATTCATATTAACAACATTAATTTAGTATGACAGGATTCTGTCCTGCTGAAACTAAACTGCCACTTGTAATGAGAGTGTGGCACAGGTAGGCTGTCCTAGTTTTTCAAGTCTGGCCTGAGAACACTTCCACATATCATACAGTGGCTGGCTCTCCCCTTTTCTCCATCCAGAACCCAACAAAGATTGAGCCCTGTGTGTGTCCATAGGGGGAATCAGTTGGCCTTTGTCCAGTGGGCCTTAATAGGCGCTCACTGAATGTGGACTGACCAACAGAATGCCTAAATGTTCATTAAGGTCACATTCACACAAGGTGTATAATAGGTATTTGTGGAATGAATGAACTCAGTGATTGGGGTTTATTTTATAGTTAAGTAAGGCAATAATTTGGCCATGATGAAGGTGAGAAAACTTCTTTTCTCATCATCATGATTGCTAATAGTTGAATGTCTGCCACAGCCCTGGACATGGGCGAATTTATGTGGTCATACTATATAATAGTCACTATGATGGTAAATATGCTTTGTGTATGTGTGTGCGCGCACGCGTGTCTGTGTGTAGGTAGGTAGGTACCACATTTGGCTATTCTGCCTGTACCTTTTGTTTGAATTTTACTTATTTTTTTGAACAATATATTCACCCTATTCAAACAATACAAATAACATGTAGGGAAAGGTCTCCCTCTGAAC